TGTGGTCCGCGTGACCCCAATTAAATCCTGTGATGAAGTGCAAATCTGAATCAAAGGATGAATCACCCAAGTTGGGCTCAGTAAATATCTTGAAAACGTTTTGAGGTATTCGGTAAACAATTCGGTGAGTGATAATTAATGTTGTAGTATTGTTTCATGTAACTTCAAACTCCTTAGAAACCAGAGTTGAAAATATATAAAAATTTATTAAACACTTTTTATTACCAATTCAACAATTCAAAATATATTTAAGAAGGGTTAAATAAGCAGACTGAACATCTAAGGACTTTTCTTTAACACATTTTGACTAGCGAAATTACTTCAATATGTAATGTATGTAAATGCTTCCATTTCTACTTATACCAAATTTTGTTCTTAAGTAAGATACAAATTGCATATAATCGATCAGCTTATCGGCTCATTTTTACCCCCCCCCCCTCTTTCAACGCGCCATATGAATCACAAGCTCATATTAACTTCATTAGTTGCTAACATTGTGGCCCCATCTGCTCCCATCGTGGCAGGTGATGAGTAACAATTGTGACACATGCAATGGAAACCAAATCCCGAGTCCCATGTTCCCAGTTGATTCAGTGATTAAAATTGATCAATCAAAAGAATCGTTTAAAACATTTTTAACATGTTAGGAATGTTGTACTTCCCATTGGTGGTCATTCTATGCTCAGGTCGTGAGGAATCTGCAGAAAGGGGACTCAGTGTTTACGTTTTCACGGTGCTCTGATTAAATCCTGTATGACTGGATTCTCGTTGTCTTTCCCCTGACTTTATCAATTAATCTCCACCGCCGCATATTCAGAACCATTCGCCAAGTATTCACGTTCAAAAGCGATTGAAATGGCCGTTGGTGTAGCTTAATATACTCTATTGAGAATAATTTTAATAGTTTTTCTAATAGATAATGTCTGAAACATTGGGTCATCAATGTGATATTCATTATTCGTAAAACACTTAATTAAATTTCACACATTTTATTTTTATCATTATTCAATGAGTGCTTGGGTTCCCTTTGATTTGGTTTTGTGTTTTTGTAACTCAAACTTCAAAATATAGTAAAGACGCTAGCGAAACATTATTTAACAGAGCATTATTAACAGGACGTATTAACAGAAACATTATTTAAACAGATCGCGAATAATTTTCAAGAACAATGACAGTAAATAGCAGTCGACAAAGCACAGTTTAGTTGTATTAGACGATACTCTGCTGCTCAGCGTGTTTGGTTTCGGAAGAAATAGGTAAGCCCATGGCTTCCGGGAGAGATGCCGTTTGTTGTTCTCCACAATTTGCGAATTATTATAAATAAAAACAACGGTATGAATACTAGTAATAATATTCCTGAATAAGCTACGTGACATATTAGACGTTCGCACTTCTGAACTAAATGCCAAGTGCTGCACTGGGAAAAAGTAACTTAATCTGAAGTTATCATTCTACCGTAACACTTGTATTTCCGGACGGTATTTAAATGATATTCTTCTGAACAGTCGTTTCTAAACAAAATCTAGAGAATGAAACAATATTGTTAAAAATGGTCTGCTCCATGTGACATACTGAGTAAAATACGTTAACATTGTATCAGTTTGTTTTGAAAGGTCAAGACTTTGGCCTGAGTCCCAGAAAATAATTAACAGACTGGAGAATTGTACGGTTCCATGCTCATCCTAAAGGTGTAGGTACTGGAAGCGAAATATATTGAGTGTGTTCGTGTATGGAGTTGGCACTCCAAAGCCGGTTGTAAATGTCCGTTCGAGTGCGAACAACGGTGCTGTTCGCAAGGATACTTCTTGGGTGAAGATCTAGCAAGGCCTGTTTTTACGGCGTCCACTATTGCTCTTCTCAAATATGAAGCATCAATTTGAGAATAATTATGACAACCAGATACACATTATCCTTGTCCTGTTCACGTTAGAAGACTTGCCAGTTTCATTTTAACGCCTCGACTGCACGGGCATATTATTTACCTGGTTAAATACAGAATAATATTGACATACATTAATGATATCAAATTTTTCAATTATTTGTTGTTTTCGTTCGTATAATATCAACAATTCCCACTAGCATTTGATGGATTCTAGGTAAATCCGGTAACCGCTAGAGAATGTATTGAATTATCGCTAACTTTTCAAGCACTTTGGATATAAATTTCGTTAATTTTCTGGAGGAGAATTTAAGCAACGGGCCACCAATTGCCCGCAAGCCTCCTTTCCTCACACAGTTTTCTTCCCAATTCTAGAGATGAATACTTTCACGGGTCCATCCCTTGCACTAACGCGAATAAGCTATTTTCGACTTCGTAGTACCGGGACCCACCGTACAAACGGAATTACAAAAAGGAGTATGAAATAAAATAGTCTGGACAAAAAATAGTATATCCACCAGCCTATTGCAAACTAGTGTACACATTGGGCACCCTCAATATAATGGGCGTGGTATAAAAATAGGAATATTTAATCATTTTGGAGCTGTTCATGTCTATATTTTATTTAAGGTGAAAAACAGTAAAAAGTATGTGGCGTATGAGGGGAGAAGTACAGTGCGCAATTAAGGATTTTTTCTGTGCTCTTAAGAGAAATTCGTGACTGTTTTCTCCCTTAACATAAGAGATGAAATTCATAAACAACTTGTACGTAATGTCACATATTGTAAATAATATAAAAAGCCTGTTTTTACAAGCATTTGTGTAGTTCAATACCATTTCGACTGGGAAATGTCTTAATTTTATTTTTACGGTTGTCCTGAAACACCGTCCCTCTTCTCTATTTTATGAACTTACAACTGTTGTTCAATTGGTACGCATTTTTTACCGGTGATACATTAAACAAAAAATTGCGCTAAAAACTGGGAAAAAATAAAATTATGTTGTTTATTCAAACGATGTGACAGTTCTTTATTTACTATACATTTGCATCAGGGAAGGGCATAAATAATTACGTGCGATGTGCGAGCAAGTGGCACCAAATTTCGCGTCGCGGAAGCGCAATGTGTCGCGGCGCCGCGTGATAATTCCCGTTCTCCCCTCTCCCGCCCCCGCCCCTCGCCCTACCCAACGTGCTGCTTACCGGCGAGGCGCCGTCGCGCTGTGCTCGCTCTACGTACAAGCATGCCGGCTCCCTCCGCCCTTCCCTTGTCGCCTTTCGCCCACTGGGGCACTCCTTCCCGAGTTCCTTCCACCCCAGGAAAAGCTCCCATTAGAGACCGCCGCAAAGCACGCGTTGCACTCCTCCCACGCGTACAACGAACTTGCAACATGGCGCGGGCGAACAACAAACTACGAACATGGAACAGACAACGTCAAACAGCAAACGTCAAATTACGAACAACGAACTCCGATGTCCGTTTTCAAACGCGGGCCAAACTTTGATCTCGCGGGCAACGGAAAGGCGGATAGCGCGGATTAGGTGGAGCGGGCGCGGCAGGCGTGCGGCGCGCGCTGCCCGCTACTTACCGGGCAGCGGCGCCCGCCGGGCGTCGCGGCGCCGAGGGCCCCGCGCCCCCGCGCGGCGCCCGCCCGCTCGCCCCGGGCCCCAAAGCACCACGACGCCTTGCGTTGCACTCCCAAAAGCTGCGTGTTAATTTTGGCCGCAAAAGCGCTACAAACGGCGACAGCGCGGCGCGAGCCGGCGCGGGCGTGGGCCGCGCTGGCGCCGGCTGGCGGCGCGCGCGGGCACCGCTCAGTCGAACTCGGGCCCACAGTATGCTCATGTCATCCGAAACCACACGATGGGTCTGATGGTGACCATCTGTTTGGTGTCGAGGCACCACTGCACAACAGAGCGAAGCGTCTGAGAAGCGCGCCGCCGGCGCGCGGGCGTGAGGCGCGGGGCGGGATGGGAGCGGCCGGTAGGGGTCGTCGCTGCGAGGGCGGGAGGGCGAAGGACGGGTGAGGGCTGGCGGGGCGCTGGTGCGCGGCGGCGGCGGTGCCCCTCGCGGGGCCGCCGCGCCCGTCACCAGCTATTCTGAGGGCCGCCGCGACGCGGAAATAACCCGCGCACCCGCGCCCCCGCGACGCACGCCCGCGCCCGCCCGCAACGGTCGCGGCGCGGGCTTCGCCGCTCTGCCCTAGATGGCCCGGCGGCGGCGGGCGGGCGCGGCGGCGCGGCGGCGCGGCAGCGGGCGCGCGCGCCTGCCCCAGCCCCTTGTTATGCGGCGGCGCGCGCGCTATTTCGAGGCAGCCCCCCGGCCGGCGCCCTCGCCCGATCGCCCGCGCCCCGCGCCCGCCCGCCCGCGCCCCCGCCCGCGCCCCGCCGCCCGCCGCGGGTATAGTAGGGGCGCGGCGCGCATCGCCCCTCAGTGGCTGCTGAGGACGCGCGCCTCTCGTGCTGTAGCCTCCGTGCCGGTGTGTGAGACGCTCGTGCGTCTGTTGACCCC